GATTTATTAGTATGCATTTAATTTTTTTTTTAAACTTTAGCTCAATGTTGATATATGAAAGTATGAAATTTGTTCAATGGGTCTTCCAACAAAGCTTTTTCTAAGTCAATTTTCTAACATAATACTGAAACTTTTACCACAGAGAGTTCTAACTGATACGCTCAAAATAAATACTACGATTATGGTAGTGGCAAATAAATAACTAACTCAACGAGTCAATGAAAAACAAACAAGACCTCACTTCTAAATAAATTTTTCCCGATGAAACCAAAGATAATGACTCTATGAAGATGCATTTAAAATAAATGGGCCCAAATTTTTGAGCCCAAGCTCATCAAAGAATAAAAATAAACAAAAAGGATGTAGAAAGAAAGTGACTATATCTACTGTGGCCAATAACACAGAGATATTAAATACAAATATGCACATATACATATATTTAATTATATAGTCAAAAATTAAATAATCAATATCTAATATAAAACAAATAATATTCACAAAACATAAATAGTATAAAACACAAAGGAAATGATAGAAACTAAAGAAGATGTGAAGGGAAAGATGATATAGATAATTGTATGGGCCTCAAGGGAATATTGGGCTGCGAAAATAGTACATATGACAATTGGGCCCAACATAGCCCAATCACCGGTGGAAGGAAGTTAGGCCATGTTTGATGAAGAGGATTGAAAGGGAATGAGCCAATGAGGTGGGACACCTCCTGCATTTGGTTTGATGGAAAGCAATGCATCTACCATTCCACTGGAAAGTTTTAAGCCTCCAGATGATTCCGCAATTGAGAAGAAACATAATGTGCACTATCGAGTTACTTGAGAAAAGTCCAAATAACCCTTTATGAAAAAAAAAGTCCTTTGAAGTCATCTCAAATTTTTCGGAGAAATCTTTCATTTTCTTTTCAATGAGTACCAAATACTCCCTCCATTAAAAAATATAAAGCATTTCTTTAAGAGTTAAATGTTTAAAAATATAAGGCATTTTTATTTTTTTAAAGTGTAATCATTATCTTTTTTTAAAAAGTACTTTTATTAATAGTGATTTTATATTTATTATAGGGTGTTTAATCAGAGTAAATATGAAAAAATATTATTAATTTGAAAGTAGATAATTACTTTATTAAGGGAGAGATTTGATTAAAATTTTTTTATATTTTTAAATAAAAGAAGTATTATTTTTATAATCATTTCTAATGCGAGTATTCTTTCTTTCGATGTTTCACACTCTTTGTACACTTTCTGTGTACAAACCACTCTCATCCCATTCCCACATTGGGCTCACAGCCTCACGCACACACTCTCCATAATAACCTGCCAATTAAAATAATATCTTATATTATACACCAATTTTATATGTGTAAGCGCGTGCACATTTTTTTTAAACTATAATATATGACATTAGTAACTATTTTACTATTATTAAAAAAGTTAAGTAAAATCTTAATCGCTTAAATTGTATATTTTTTTACTTATATTCTCATTAAATATTTTATATAAGTTTCTTAATAATGATAATTAAAATTTCTATGCATGTTTTTTTTTAAAAAAGGAATATTTTGAACTAAATAAGATTTTTAAGAGATATTTTATAATATGATTCAGAGATATCCTCCCTTCACCATTTATATATATATACACACACTCTTTCTGTTAAAAAATGTAAGGTATTTTTTGAGAAATTGAATGTTTAAAATATAAGGCATTTTTATTCTTTCGAGGTGTAAACATTGCTTTTTACAAAAGTATCTCTATTGATAATAACTTTATATTTATTAGAGTATTTAATAGGAGTAAATATGAAAAGATAGGGTTAATTAAAAAATAGATAACTACTTTATTGAATGGTGAAGTTCGAATAAAAATGCCTTACATTTTTGAACGGAGGGAGTACATACTTGTCAACATTTTTTCATGTAAATTGAAAAAAAGATATTAGATTGTTTTATTTTTCAAAAATATTTTACCAAAAAATGGAGTATCATTTATTATCTTAATTGGGCATCTTATAATATAAGGGACCGACGAGAGCATAAGTATATTATATGATTTTATTTTAAACATTTCAAATTTTTTTTAAAAAGTACATATAATTTTATACAATTTTTTATTTAATATTTTAAATTATAAAATTAAAATTTTAAATTAATAATATATCTTTTGTTTTCTAAAAAATTAGCCCTCCTAACTATTAAGGCTAGTTTTGCTCCTGTAAGACAAGGTCATTTTCTATTCATGACAAAAAGAAGGAGGAAGTGAAAGAAAATGGAGATGATGATAGGGATAAGCACAAATTTGGATTACTTTTATATTTTAATAAATTTTTATTATAATAGAAAAATAGTAAACATAAATGTAATCTCTTAACTATTAGCCTATCAAAAATTGAATTTATTACTTGAAAATTTTAAATTTGACTCGTTCAAATTGAATTTAAACAATTTTGATCTCACCTCCACAAGAACATTGGGTCACTCAGGCTCCTTCCAATAAAATAACCAATCAGTCCCCCAATTTTTTTAAAGGATGAAAATACATTAGGTGTCCATAATTTCATTCATCGGTGCACAATGATGTACCTGATTATTTCCCAAGAGAAAGAAGGAGGGAGAAACTTTCGCCTTTGGCCATTTTTGCTATCTGTATTCCTATCATTTTCTTTGCTTCCATTTCTGCTTTATCCAATTACTCTGCCTTTTGTGTGAGGGTTGTGTGTTGTTTCTGTTTCGAATAATTTAGTACAATTGATATTTTTGCGGTTTACAATTGTATTGTTTTTGTACTCCAACATAACTTCTGGATTTTAGAACTTAAATACAATAAGGATCTAGAAATACAACTCAGCATAATTTACCACTAAGCTTAGTGATTCCCAAGCTTCCAGATTTTGCAATAGAAATTTTGATTTTTAAACAGTTGTCGTCTTTTTGGCTTGAGTAGGGACATTTTAATTCACAATTTAGAAAAGGTTCTTGGTCCTTAGTGGCCATTTTCATAATTCAATATCCTACTCAAGGTTTTGAAAATCAGACTGGACCGGCCGGTTCAACTGGTTGAACCGGGAATCGGCTCTTGGTCAGGTTCGATTGACCCCTAAAAATCGATTATTATGAAACCGGTCAACAACCAATAAAACCGGATAAAAATCAGACTAGTTCCCATGAGAAAACCAGACAAAATTTTTAAAAAATAAAAAAATAAATTAAAATTAAAATTAAAATACATCTTTCTTGATATTTAAATGAAAAGCTTCACTTATAATTAATATTAATTGTGTATTTATCAATAATAAATTATATTACCAAGCATCTATAATATATTTTTGAAAAAAAATACATATTTAAATGTATTTCTTATTTAATTATGATACATAAATTAAAAATATATTAATTTAATGCCAACTGGTTCAATCCTGGTTAGACCATGGTTCGATCAATGAACCGTGAACCAGTGCCTCGTTCGGTTCAATGATCGATCCGGTTTTTAAAACCTTAATCCTACTTAAGGGTATTAATGGAAGTCCAATCTCAATCACGACAAGACCAATCTAGCCTGTCTTGAAACAAAGGACATGAGACAAAATTATAATCAAGATTGCACGAGACACAAGTTTAGTGTGAGGATGTCCTGTCCCAGCCCAAATAGATATCTATGCTGTTTTTTTTTTAAAATTTGTTTAATGTGTTCTTCACTTTAGGCTTATAGTTGTTGTAACTCTAATTGAATTTATATTGGGTATTTGTGATTTATGGTTGTTTACATGTGTTGTTTTGGAATTAAGAAATTATATAATTTAATAAATTATGTGCTAGACTTGAGTTTTATTATCACTTCATTGAGGTTAATGTTAGTTTGAGGGGAAAAAAAAGTTTAATTACTCAATTTGAAAATCTAAGTATCACCATAGATGTTAGTTATTTATTTCCTATTTTTCCAAATCTCTCTTTCATTCATTATTGGGCGATCCCATCTCGTCCCATCCCAATTTTGAACGGGAGAATAATAGAGAAGTTTTAAAATGATCAATTAATTCAAGTTAAATTTCAAGTGTTAAATTTTAGGAATGTGTAACTCAATTTTTTAATTTTACAACTCTATTATGATAAATTTATAACTTGTATTTTAAATTTTATAAAAAAATAAATTATAAATTTACCACAATAAAATTGTAAAATTAAAAAATTAAGTTCATTGATATGACAACTTTCAAGATATGAGACAAAAGTTTATTCCCATTCCTTTTTGAGTCGGAACACAGAATAGAGCTGTCTTGATCCCGTTCCATAACTACCCCTAGTCCTACACGATCATTATCTCCCTAAATAAGCCTTGTGTATCATTCCCCCTTGAAGATTTTTTGGACCAGTCTTAAAATAAGGTTTGAGATATGCAATTTGGGCCGATCAAGTCTATTGGGTTAGTCCACAATAACACCTCTCTATTTATATAATCGCGCACACATATTTAATTATTATGCTAATAAGCAGCAATATTATATTTCTTACCATATAAAAGGTTTACCTTTTCCCAATAAAAATTGGATAAATAAAATCATCTTTTGGATTGGCCAAAGAAAACATTTTGCATTTAAGGCTGTCTAACTTGAATAAAATCAAGACGTTTTAGGCCAATAATTTACTGGATATGAATGAAATGCAAGTTTTCTAACTAATCATTCAAATCTACATGATCATTTATTTTGCTTCACTGTTGTCCCTTTTATCCAATGAAAAGAAAGTTGTCTTTAAAATCACTACCAGTGTTGGTCTATTTCTCAGTTTAAACTTTAAACCCAAAGATTTCAATATATTATCCGGAAGAGTCAACCAGGACAAAAAACATGTACAAAGGAAAAATGCAGAATTACAATGACCAGTAGAAGCTAATACAATTATCTTTTTCTTGAGTAGATTAGTAAAATAATTAATGGCATGCAATAATGATATCCTGAATCAGCTCATCTCTAATATTTTGGAAAAGATTGAAGAATGAAAGCAAAAGGATTTACATCAGAATCATCATCAAAATGTCACAAACAGTCATTTTAGAGAAGTACATGAGAATCCCACCCCAGTTTTGGGACACAAAGTTAGATGGGCATGCCCCTTGGAACAATCTTGTCCTTAATCCACATGTAAATTGGCACTAATACATAATAAGTGGCTGCAAGTGCACCGAGAATGAACCGAGAAAGAAACACAAATGGATTTACAGGCTTCTTTACATCTTCTGCCTTGGGTCCAAGCTACAAGTAAAAATACATTAGATGCTAGAAATATGCAGATGTTATGCATACTAGAGTGACTATATATTTTGAACAAATGTTTGCAGCGTTCATTATCTGAAGAGTAAGTAACATGAATCTGAATTCCCCATGAGCTCACCTCAACCTATACAAACCACTTTTCCATTTTTGAGAACTATACAGATTTTCTTTAAAAATAAAAAGCAAATTATATCAACTTTCCTTGAATTTTTTCTGAACTTCTCTTTTCTATTTTTAAAATCTACACAAGCCTCCAATGAAAATAAAGAGTAAATTATACAGACCTCTAATAAATTTAGCTGAAATTACATAAACATCCACTCTATCATCAAAAGAAGTATCTGTGTATTTTGGTAAATCTGTACTATTTCACCAAAAGTTAAGTTTGTAATTTAGTCTTGTTTCAAGAGATGTATGTATGTATGAATAAGTTTTGAAATTTGAAATATACGCCTGTGTGATTTAGCAAACTTGATTATTTTGTATTGGTCTTAAAATATAGGCTGTCAGTATAATTTACTCTAATAAGACGCATCTCAAAGTTGATGCGATGATCTAAAGACTTGACGGTAGCCAAAACAAATAAATGGATGGCTCAAAGAAATTCTGGACAGGAGAGCAACTAATGCCTACTTCTGCCATTGGACTCACAGAAAAGAATGCACCTTTCATTAAAAATTGATAGAAATCTACACATCACCTCCCAGAACAAAAGAATTGTTTGCTCTGTTCATTGTCTTTTTCATTTTTCAATTATCCAGATTTAGGCACAAATGTCTTCCTTATAAAGTTTGCATTGAGAAGTGTGAATAAAGAATCAGCAGGGATCCACAATAGCAGTTTAACACATAAACACCAACCTTGCTCTGATCAATTGTTCATGTATTTTAGCTGACTTAAAGGCTTAATGGCTGAGAAATGCAAACCTATCAAACTAAAAAAAAAAAAAAAAAAAATAGAAGACGTCTGTTTCACTTGGCAATGGTGCTTCTCCGAGCGCGCGCGTGTCCAAATACTTAATAGGGTTCCTTTGTTCCATCCAAACTTCATAACATTCAGAACAGAAAAACCAGTAAATTAAAAGGGAGCTACTCTGGTTACAGGCCAATGCAAAAGCAACCAAATTTTTTTTTTCTCCCTCACAATTATCGAGTATTCACTACTACTATCGGCTTGTGAAGCATTGCTGAGCAACTAAGTATTTTAACCTTGCAAGACACTTTCTACATGCAAACAAACATATATGAACAGCCAATAGGCCGGAAGCATTTTGTAACCTTTTTCCTTCCAGCAAGACCACTTAGTGGGATAAGGTTTGTTATTAATGTTTTCTTCCAACAAGGTTTTAAATCTACTGTCTTTTCTTTAAAAAAACAGAAAGGGAGAGAGAAACTCAATTCCCAAGTCCACAATAAGCACTGCATCTATTTTAAGATTACTCTTGAGCATATGTATGAAATGCTAATCCTACTGTCAAGCATAATATCATCAGAAGTCACAGAAAGGGCCTAAGACTCGGCATACTTATAAGGTACTCAAATTACACAAAAAGAAAATTCGTAAGCTTCTGGGACTAATGCTTCATCAAATTAAAAGTAACAAAGAAAAGTATGAAAGCGCATTACCTTGAGGGGAGAGTCCCCAGTAAAAGGCTTCACACCTGTTACAGAGCAACCCATGATTAGACCATGTCGGCGTACACCACGATACCATTTTGGACCTATTCTTTTCAGCTTAACATCTTTGAAACCAGCCTTCTGAAACCATTCAATATACTCTTCCTCCTTGGGGAAGAGCATCCACACATCTGCAAAAAATCTGGACAGCCAGAAGGTTGGGTGTACAGGACCAATAATACACGCTTTGCCTCCTATTTTCAGTACTCTGTATGCTTCCTTAATGCCGCGTTGTGGGTCAGGCCAGTATTCGATACTGAAGAGCACAATCACAAGTCAATACAATAAATTAAGCGTGAGATCCATCCAGGAAACACAGAAAAGACTCAACATTTCAGTGTGTTTGGTTTCTAATTGGAAGCATCAAAAACGTCGCTTTGGTGTTTCTAACTTGAAATCAAACATGCACCAATGCGGCTTTAGTCAACATGAGGACTAAGTTTTTCCCCCCTTTCTAATGATTATGCAAGACTTAGATTTTCACTGCTGGTTTCCCTTATAATCTTTAGGTATTCAGCTATCTACAGTCTTACAAAAGACTATCATTGAAACTGCATCACAATTTTCTATACTGTTCTTCCTTCCCCCGAAACTAATTGCAAAATTTACTTCCAGCCACATCCATACTTCAAAGTTGAATGTTAGACCAAAATCAGAGAACTCATCATTCCCTCAAAAAGTCAATGCCCCACCAACACAAATTAACGTAACTTGGGAGACTAGTAAAAGGGAAAAATTACACCCTCGGGAACTACAAAACACATGCCTAAACTTTGAACTAAAATGAGAAGTTTTGCCACTTTAACTACAATATACCAAACCAATGCCAATCTATAAATATTGTTGAATTGAAAGAGGAAGCAAACTGCCACTTGAAGTTAATTTCAACAAGGACCTTTCCTTTTAGTCTGAAGATCAGTTTTATTACATGAACTAAATACACGACCTTGATTTCGAAGGTAGAATTGTTCCCACTAGTTTACACATTAAATTCCGCAAAGTAGGACACTAAAGCCTGGACAAGCAAGGATTACCAGAGACATTACCTTCCAGCGGAAACATATCTGTCAGCATAATCAGTTGGGAATGGAAGATCTTCAGCATCGCCCTCTATGATCCTACATTCTTTCAGGGGTTCCTTCTGCTTAGCCTTGGCCAACTGGTGAGGAGACTGATCAAGAATAGTAACATTCTTGGCATCAACATGCTTCACTATCCCAAGAGTTGTGAACCCTGTCCCTCCTCCAACATCCAACACTCTCATGTTACGATCATACAAATCAGCAGGCTCAAGTGCCTCGTCTCTCATTTCTTCTGTCCAGTGTCCAGGGTTAATAACGTGATCATACACAATAGACAAAAACCTGTAGAACCAAAACGCCTCCGTTTTGTGCTGTATGAACCTAGGTTGAGAAGCCGGCCTCGAGGCCGAGATACTGCATCTGGGGGTCAAGTTCTTGAATCTACATTTGTTATCACGATGAGACACAAAACCCTTCTCCATGAGAGCTCGCTTGCGAAAATCAAGACCCTGAGAACCTAACCCAGATGGGGCTATGCTATTCCCGATGAAGATAGGGGTTTTAGGTCCATTGAGCATTAAAGACGCCATGAATTCTGATTGAGAAAGAGAAAACTACTGAAATAGTAAAAGGCACTATCTCAAGGAGATGCACATTCTGGTGGGCGTGCTCTAATTAGTTCATAGCTGAAATTGACACAAGCTCGCCGATGCTCTATTTCGAAAACAAAGAAATTGGGAATTGCACAAAGACAGACAAGATTGCTCGTATGAGCGTGTAATTTCGAAAATGCCACCAGAGATAAGGACATAGAACTTATTGCTACTGCGCTGAACAAGTGAACATGCACCACAATCGTGCAGATTAGCGATTAATCTGTTCAATTCCTAACGAATCGTTACCATCAAATCAAACGGCAGCGTTTTGTGAGGCCATCCTCATCCTGCAATTTTTTCTTTTTGATTGTCTTCACACAGTTGATTTAAAAAAAAAAATTGGCAGAACATAAGAAGAAACGTCATCGGAAATGATCGCCTTGACGATGTAATGAAATTATGAACCTTCCCATGTAATAATTTTCAACTGCCATTTTTTTTTTGGGGGACCTGAAACTGCGTAAAAATTAACATCCTTCCCTATCCTTACTCCGGAAAATAACCACCACCCTGGAAACCCTTATTAAAAAGCCTTCGCCCGAACCTGAAATTTTCTCCATTATCACATCCTTCTGAGTGATGCAAGTATAGATTACAAAGGCTACACCATAGTGTAGGACAACAAAGAGCAATTATGGTCACTGACACTTCTCCGATGAATGATAAGCTCAGAGAAATTTGCAAAAATATTACAAAATTCTATCAAGGCTTGAGTAACACAACCTGGCCTTCCACTTACAGAAAAACATCGGTATGATCATACTATAAAGACTAGTGCCATTCTCTCAGGATGCAGCGTGTATGTTTCGCAAGTAAATAAAAAAAAAAAAAAGGGAGAGGGACCTCAAGGCTAGACTCCCTGTATATCAGGTGGCTTTGGAACTTCTCTGAGTTGAACTGAGTTCTCAAAGCAATGATAAAAACCATAATGAGGGAATCTCTCGTACCAAGTATCTTCCAGAACGTGCGTGTCCCAGTGTTGCCCGCAGCTGCTCCTCCCATACTTGTGAATCCATCCAGAGCCATTGTGTTGCTCACCCCAAGTTCGGTTCCATCGCTGTCCGTCTTTACCTTCCCACCATGTCTCTCCTTGCTTGATGCCATGGGCATTTAGATCAAAATTTTCATCCCATTTGTCTCCCCATTTCTCCCATCCACCATCCACTGACCGCTCGGCCCACTTGTCGGTGTACTTCACACTGCCACCCTTCCCATCATACGTTTCACCCCACCTGGCAAAGGCACAGCAGGAATAAGCCAACAGCCAAGAGGAAGGGAATTATGACCAAGAATTAGGCAAAAAATCATCACTGTCTCTCATTCTATTTAAACTAACAATTAGGCCCCCGCATTGTTTGGACTGTTTGGCTTGAACTCCTAGATCTTAGAGAATGTAGTAGTCCTCTAAAGCAATAAACTCATTGCATTTTGGTTCTTGGAACATCTGTACTCCTAGAAAATAATAAATTCATTGCATTTTAGTTCTTACAATATTTTTAGGTTACTTGATAAAAGGATTAATACATAAAACGACTTTGTCATTTTCTAAGTGTAAATTGTGCATTAACCGATAAACTAATTTTCAGGAATTAAAGCTAAATGATGCTGTTATTAACTAATACTATTGAGGTTCGAAATATTAGCTTCCGCGTGCTCTTCTAGTCATGAAAGGAAAGGAAACCGCTTATATGTGAACCAGTCAAAACTTCTTCCCAGGCAAGTCATTAAATTTATAAAATTTGTCACTAGAAACTTCGAGGCATTAAATTTACAAAATCTGTTAGAAGAAATTTTGAGGCTGCAGATAGCTTTGATGTGAGGAAAACTCCCATTCATGGAATTAAGGCGGCAAAGTGGAGGAATTCCTTAAATTATGTAAGGTATTTACTAGTAACAGGTATTGAACCGATATTCCACGCACAAGAAGCTTACAGCATATAGCATGTTAGATCAAACTTCAAATATAAACTCAACCCATAAAGCTATATAGCCTCGTGTTAACATGATAAGAAAAAACTTGGCTGCTGTTTTTAGGTGTTTGTTATTATATTATTCAATAATAATAAAACAAGTGGATTCTTTTTATGACTCAACACTGCATGTTGGGATTTTAAAGAAATTTTCTCCATGCCTCATGTTTTTATTGAAAATTTTGATAGCAAAGACCTAAAGGAACTTCACCAGTTCAACTAACCCATATATCTTTCTGATTTACTCCAAACATCTGATGAATTTATATATTAGAAAAATCAGAAATCAGGGAGACAAATTTCCTTGAATTTCAGGTAGACATAGTGCATGCTTACATGTACTTGATGATAAGTAGTTCATTCCAGCGTACCATGATAGAAGGATCATAAAAACATATAAAGGTATAACAGAATAGTTATTTTAACAGAGATCAGGGATTTGGGTCATTTCAATTAAAGACAGAGGTACCTTTCATGCCAAACATGAGCATGCCCAGCTTCAAGGGGTGTGTTTGGGTCAATACTACACCACTTGTGCGCCCATTTTTCTGTTTGACCACCCGCACCATGGTGTTCCCACCAGTTTTCTTGCCACTCCTCACCTTTGCCATTTTTCCCCCATTTGTCTGCTGTTTTCTCAATATGCAGAAGCCCATTTTCCTGCAAGCGAAATTCATACACAGTAACGTAACCATTAATATACCATTCATTTATGCTCACGCAAAAGTGAATGCAAAATTATTCAGATAGCTGTCATTGGTTATTGCAAAAATACTCTTAATAAATGAAGTTTAATAAAACGAAACAGAAAATAAGCCAAAAAAACATGAATATAAGATAGCAACTCAAATAAGGCAGCATCACAAACTCAAGTGCAAATTTAAATGGTTGTATACTCTAGACAAAGATATTAAAATGATCGGGCTTCAGGTGCAGCATTGATTTTTGGCAAGTAACAATTGATATATAACAGCTCGGTGGTACCTAATTGCACACTTGGATGTACGTGTCAAGGAGGATGGTAACTACTAACTGCCAAAACAATGCTATCCAATATTGATAAACTACATGGTGCAAGCAGTAATAAAACGCATTAATAGCAATATGGGCGTGTCCCTCTTTCTAACCTGCCGCATTGATTCTCTCCAAAATTCACGCCAAACATTTCCATGTGCATCACGACCTGATTTCTCAGAACCAAGTTCCTTATAGCCAAACACATCAGAAGCTTCCCAGAACGTCTCTTGCCATTCAGTGGCTTTGTCAGCACTAATACCTCTGTTCATCGTCCATTTGCAAATTACACCATCTGGCCTTCGCTCAATTCCTGTCTCCTTCCACCATCTTGACCCATCTGGATTCACGCCACTAGGTGATGATTTATCCACATCATTGAGGGCATTAGCAGCTTCAATTGCATGGTCAGCAAACAGTGCATCTCTTCTCTGTTCCTCTTCCAAGGAAGGCAGCTCTACATTGGACCTGGAGGCTTCTCGTTTTTCATCCTCTACTGATGACTGAAATGGGGGCAGATTAGGACTAGGCTTGATCTGAGAAAGTGGACTTTCAAATGGAATTGTGAAAAATTGCAGAGATCTTTCCTTCTCTGCAATAGGATTGGGCGAAAAAACTGAAGGATTTTTAGCTGCCTGCAAGCCCCTGACATCATCTGAAGGATCGTTACTGTCTGGAGGCGGCGTCCAGGACCAAAAATCAGGACCTGGAATTCCCTTTCTCTGACTTTCTGATTCTGGCAGATATGTAATTCCACTCCACATTCCTGATCATTTTAAATTCCAAACATGTGATAATGAATTAGATTATATAATTTATTAGATATGAAGGACTGTTAACGAAACAACAATAAATAACAATCCAATTAAAAAAAAAAAAAAACTAAAGAGCGAGTTCTGCTTCCAGAATCTTGCAATAATAAAGGCAGTCAATTGCCAACACTAAACTAATTATTTAGAAGATCACATTCCTTACTTCATTCCTTCCTTTATCATCCAGCCGGGGTGACCTAAGTTAAAAAAATAAAATAAAAGAAAGGGTAAAAGAGGCAAAAAGAGTATTGCCCCTAATCCTAGTCGCATAATTTCCAGAATTCAAATAATAACTGAAACCATAAGCAAGTTTTGACTAAAAAAAGAAACTATAAGCAAGTGGAAAACCCTAAAACGCTACTGCAGGAGAAAGCGTCACATTAAAGAAAAGAACTCAGACAGAGCTTCCAAGAAAGCAAACATTGGGAACAAGCCGTTACCTTGTTGACTTTCCCCTATTGCTTCACCGCCTTGTCTCTTCAGTTCCCCACCGACGGCAGTATCCGACACATTACTCTCCTGAAGAACTGCTCGGGCAGCCGCGATGGCCGCAGCCGCCCGATCAATCACCTGCATTCGCTGAATCCTATCCCTCTCTTCTGTCGGAACTCCAAGAATCTTCTCGAACTCCCGACTCTTCCTTTCCAATTCCTCCATGCTCGGCTTCTCACCGCCTTCATCATCATCTCTTCCAGAACTGGTCTCAACGATCCTCCCAAACTCAATATTCTTTCTCTCCATATCCACAGCCTTCTTCCACATATCAAGGTACGAACCTTCGCCATCGGAATTCGCCGCTCTCAGGGCTCCTCCCCTGTTTCTTGGCTTATGGCTTCCAATTATCGACACTTGTAGTTGCTGGGGAACAAGAAGCAGGTGGTTGAATTCGAGCACGGGAAGCCTCGGGAAGCGAGAAGGTGCACCTGCACAGGATCCGAGATAGGTCCCTATCATCATGCATGAATGATTCCAGAGCTCTGGAAGTGAAATGTGAGTGTCAGTTAGAACGAGAAGTGCACAGAAAGTGGCGGTGAATGGTTTTGCATATAAAAATGTACAATGTAGTAGCGAAGAGGGTAAAGTTGTAAATATTAGATGAATAATGGCCTTATTTTTTTCTTTTTGAAAAGGGCAAAGAGTTTTCCAAAAAGAAAAAGAAAGTAGAGAGCGTGAGATGTGAAGGACATTTTCGTGTCCGTGAAGGCAGGAAGCCAAATTAAATAACTAAATAATAAGAAAAACACAATTTACGGAAGAAGCTGCTGCGTTCTCCCTTGAAAGCGTTAATAATAATGTACCGTTTGGAATCAGGAAAAAGCTTTTGATGAAGGTAGAAGTGGTGATAGAAGAATGAGGTGAAAAATATATTGATATGCAGAGAGAGAGAGAGAGAGAGAGAGAGAGAGAGAGTATTTAATAAATATATTTATATTTTAAAAAAACCAGAACACTAGTAATTAAAAAAAAAAAAACCCACAGAAGCGTAAGTATCACCAGAGGCGGTCAAAAAGCTGAAGAAACGAACAGGCTGTATTTGGCCGGAGGATTTCTTCTTCTTTTTTGGTCAAAGAAGAAGAAATGTAACATTCAAAATCAAAACTACTCAAATTAAAATGGCAGAATCAAAAGAGAACCAGAAACACAAAATATAACTGGATTTGAAGAAGTGGCAGGCGATGAGAGGAGGCGTCGAGAGGGAAGATCGGCGAAGAACTCTGAAGGGGCAGATGGAGAGGGATTAGTATCGCCGATGCTTGTGGGTCACCGATGGTCCTGTGATCGTCGGAGTTGGACCTTCTGGTCTCGTCACGGCCACTTGCCTCTGAACCAATGACAAATTAAAGCTTCATCTTCCTAAGCCATTCTGACGCAACCGAGAAGCAAGAACACCGTGAGATGACGACGGAGATGGACGCTGAGGAATCGAGTTCTCCGTGAGGGTGATCGCCGTCGGAGGTCTGACGAGAGGGAGACAGTGAGACAGATGACTGAGGAGTCGAGAGGGGACAAATTCGAAGTCGGTAGAGTCGGCAGTAGCAACGGCGAGTCACGGCGGAGAAATTGATCGGCGGGAGAAGAAGAGGGTGGGTCACGGCAGATAAGTGAGGTGTGGGTATAAAATGAGGATAAAGTTGTCAACAACTAAATTATCATGGGTATAAGTGTCAGAAAAACTTTGATTCCATGGCAGTTAGTAGTATGATGAGGTGATGGCGCTGAGATTTACCAGATTTGATGGAACTGGCCACTGGGTACCTTCACAAATCGGGATCTCACCCATCCAACAGCCAAAAAAAAAAAAAAAAAACCAAGAAAAAAAAAAAAAATACAGAAGCTCCGCTCTCACTCCCCACTTTCCAATTTGGACATAAGAAATTTGGACATATGAACTATCCAAAATACCCTCTCCTCTCCTCTCATTTCCTTCCTCATCTGCCACATGTTTAGATTTAAATTTTCCAAAATTAAGGCTGGTGAATTTAGATAAACTTTTTTTTAATATTTTTCTCATTTTATTATTTTTAAGAAATATAAAATATTTTTCTCTTTCTTAAAAAAATTCATTATTAGAAAATTTAATGGCTTGTTTGCTTTCTGTTTTTAAAAAAATTATTTTTATTTTAAAAAAATGTAAAAACTTATTTAGATAAGTGTTTTAAATTTAATTTTTTTTATTTTTTTGTAAAAAAATTTCAAGTTTTTTTCATTTTATTTTGTTAAATATATTACATTTGATTATTGAAAATTATAGTTGTTTTGATTAACTTTTTATTATAAATCACCTGTAATTATTATCATCACTCTATTTTTTTAATTTTAAAATTGTTTTTAAATTAATAGAACCAAATACTTTTTTATTTTTTATTTTAAAAAATGTTCTGAAAATAATATTATAAAAAATTTTTAAAAATAAAAAATAAGGAATAAAACCAAACAGGTTATAAATTCTTTGTGTTTTTGCTTTGTTGCTTCATGGTGTTTGATCTGAGTGCATTTGGTTGTCGCCCAGGTTTGCTGTTTCTAGCATTTTTTTTTTGGGCCTAACTGTTTCTAGCTACTTGATGTGTACGCTAATAGCATCTTATCGTTTTTCTTTGCAATTTGCAAAATCTGGCCCATGTGCTAAAACGAAGAAAATGTTGGGAGTCACTGACTTTGTTCACATTTGTTTTAATACTGTTCTGTAATATGATTTACAAAATTATTTTAGCATCAAATCAAAAAAAATTGTTGAATTATTTAATTGAAAAAAAACTTATTTAGACAATTTTTTAAATTTTTTTAAAAATTGTAAATAAATATGTTTCTCTAGAACATCTGCTTTTGAGTTTAAAATATTTAAATATTCATTTTTAAGTTTATATTTCAATTTAGTGTATATATATGTATGTATGTATGTATTACATATATGATTGGTGAAATTTTTTTTTTTGCTATTAGATTTTATATTTTTTTATCATAATGATAAGGGTGGGGAATTTTTTTCATATTTTTAATTTTTTTAATGTATTCATAATAATAAGACATTTTTAAGCAAATCTCATCTCTCAATAAAGTAGTTACTTTCTTTCAAACTAATTCTATTTTTTTATATTTATTCCTATTAAACACTGTATAATAAATAAAAAGTCATTCATCAATAGAGACACTTTTGAAAAAAAGATAATGATTATATTTTAAAAGATTAAAAATGCCTTACATTTTTAAACATTCAATTCCTAAAAAATATTTTATATTTTTAAAGAGATGAAATATTATATAGTACAATTTACTTAGTTATAAAATATCATAGTATGAAACTCACGTCTTTTTGTAGTAGTGGTAATAGTAATATATATTTTAAATTTTTTTAATTAAAATTATTAAAAACATTTATCATTTTCTTAAAATCACTGTTAAGAAGTAACATCCAAATATAAATCACCATGTTACAACTTACAATCAAATGAAATCTACCGAAACCAAATCTTAATCACTCTTATCCGATTTCATCCATATTCATATTTGATATATTTGCTTAACTTTTTTTTTTTTAATAATCATAGTCTGCTTAACCTGGGTTAACTCATAATGAGTTTTTTCCCCCGGTCAGCTTTGCTCACCGTTAAGAGAGTTCTTGTTGGTTTATTTTTCTTTGTTTATTGATTATTGATATGTTGTAAACGTATTTCAACTTTCACTAGTTACCCTCCATACAAAACTAGAATTATTAGGGTTGTATTTCAACAGTTAATGAAGTGTATGTTGATTATTTTTTTTGGTAAAAAAATCATTAAAGCAAAACGTCATGATATGACTGCGAAAGAGAAACAACAATTGCTTTATTTTGTTATTAGATTAATAAGGATTTGGATTTGAACCAAATTTCTCATACATAAAAATTTATGAATTTAAATTCATTTTAAATTATAATTATTTTATAATTTTAAATTTTCTTTGCACTATAGTTATTTGAAATTCTAATCATTTCAAATATCTTGTTCTCTTTACATTTTCACTAATATTTCTATGACTCTTATATCTTTCCTCATCTCTTATCAATTAAATAATAGAAATAAAATTGTCATTTCTAGTTTTTTTATTTTTTTTAATTTTAGTTCATCTCTTTTCTTCATTTAAAATTTTTTAAACTACCCAAACAAATAATTTTAAATATATGGATTTCAAATGTGAAATTTAAAATGTAAGATTTTGAAATTTAAAATCTAAATCCAAATACATTAATCCAAACTCTATCTTAGCGTGTATTTGCAAACCCGCTAACCTGGATTAAAATCATGTTTTGACTATAATGTTAGAGTAGCTTTGTCTCCAAAATTGTAGAAACATTTTTTTAAGGATTTTTTAAATATAAATGGAGAGATTGGAATTTGAGATAAAAATTCAAAACAACGGCAGCTGCAAATCTTGAAAACCCGATCTAATCTGTTAAACATACTTAATTACGTGTGTTGTTTTATAATTTCTTGTGAATTATTATATATTTATAGCTTTTTTTTTTATTTCTCACAGGTTACTTAAGGCAATGCTCTTCTGTTTTTTAATTACATAATAAAAATATTTTTGAAGAGAAAATTACAGTTATTAGATGAGTAATTCACTGCTATCACTCAAGCCACCTGAAAAGAGGTGGAACCCAATCCAAGTTGGGTTATTGAATCTGCTTAAAGGACTGTTAAGGAACATTGGCAAAGCTGTGCCTTAGTTTGTGATGACGTTCTTGAGATAGGGAGAACCACATTGCCTCGACATTGGATATCACCACCCAAGGGCTTTATTAAAGTTAATTGTGATGGACCCTTTGTGAAATAACAAAATAAGGCAGCTATTGGTATAGTCTGCAAGGATGAATTAGGCCTTGTCTCTTGTATCCTAAAACGTCAACCTACTTTGGGAGATTAGAGATGTAGAAGATATTGTGGACCTCTTAGCAATCAAAGTTGGGTTTTTTCTTGCCTTTGCTCCACCCAAAAGCAATGCTATAGCTGATTTCATTACAGTGCTTGCTCTCAAGGAGGTGATTTCGATTGGATGGATGTGCTCACCATCACCTTCGTTGTCTCTCCTACTAGTTAAGGATGCGGTGGCCCATTTTGTGTCTTCAAATGCTGTCCTCATCTCTTTCTGTGAGGAATGGTGTTGGCTGATTGCATTTTCAACTTTGTTTGTTTACTGGTTTTTTTTTTTTTTTTTTTTTGGTGTTACTTCGATTTGCTGTTTCTCCTTTTCGTGTGTTATGCACTTTGGTGTCATTTTGAGTAATATGCCAACTTTTGCCCAAAAAAAGATGAGTAATTCTTTTCATTAAAGCCTTGTGCATCTAATCTCCAATAACAACAAATTAAAACTAATTCAAAAGATTTTTCATCAGATACAATAAAAAAGAATTAAAATTTTAAAATAGTAGCCTAATATTTCAGATAAGGTAAATCCAATCAATTTTTTTTTGGGGGACAAAAATCCAATCAATTTACTATATGCTTTTTTGATTGATAATACCAAGCTTTTTTTTTTAAATTATTTTTCTTCAACTAGATTAATTAAAATCAGTTAATAAAATTGGTTTTATCCTATCATCCTTACTTTATTGACTAGTTAATGTGGATATTTTCAATAAATCAAATGTTATATTTACAACGCTTAAAAGGCATGATTGAAAATATGTTAAAAAAATAAAAAAAAGATCTAAATCAACTTTTTTCTAGAAGCATAAATTAATTATTTTTTTAAAGTGCTATTATTAAATAAATCACTTTATATTTATTTTAAGGTGAACAACTTTGTTAAATAGGAGAAAATATGAAAAGATAGAGTTAATTTGAATGCAAGTAACTATTTTATTGAGAGATGAGATTTATTTAAAAACACTTTATATTTTTTAATGGAGGGAGTAGGTTGATGAAATAACATTAAATTGTTGGGGAAAATAAAGAAATAAAAAAATTAAACCAATCATAAAAGAAAAAAATAATTAAAAAACTATGCTACAGAAGCATAATGATTTCTAGTCTAGAAGGTTTTGGCTTCGACCCCTTAAATTTAAAGTTTTATTTGGCTCTGTAGGCATAAAATTAGTTGAAGGAAGATCCACATCATTTTTTTAGATGAGGCAAAACCATCTCCTAATTAGAACCCTTCAAACTCTTCACTGATCAAACCAAAGGGAGGTGGCGGAGCCTAGAATCTAAACAATGAAGGCATTGATTTTGCATGATTCCATGAGGAAGATGCAAACTAGAAATGGATCGGTTTGGATCTGTAAGCATAGCCTCATAGGATTAGTTGAAAGAGAATCCTTAACTTTCTTAAGGTGAGACAAATCATATCCCAATATGAATGTCAAAATATCTTCACCGGGTGCACCCAGAACCAGTGGCATGTAGACCTTAAATGGCAAAGGCATTGATTTTGCATATTTCCATGTGGAATATGCAAAGTAGGAGTAGATTGAAGAAGTCTTCTGCTGACTATCTTTTGAGGATTGGTTTGGTTTTGTAGGCATAGGATTAGTTGAAGGAGGATCCTCAACTTTCTTAAGGTGATGAGACATAATTATATCCTAATATGAACCCCTTAGAATGTATTTGCCAAAAGGTGAACCAGTAATTGGTGGCACATAGACTCTAAATGGTGAAGTCACTGATTCTAAACACTTCCATTAAGAAGATACAAAGTAGGATTGGATTGAAGAAGTATGCTTTT